TTCCATAAATATGATCATCATCTATCTTAATGAAATATTAAGTATAGATAAATACAACAAAGTTTCTTCTTAAAGATTTTTGAAGACCCTTTTTTCCAAAAGAGCTTCTCAAGCAATCTAATAGAAACTTTGTATTTAAATCTACACGAATATCTCATTGAATCAAGAGATAAGCCAGAAAAGGACAAGCATATCCTTTTTTTTTGTTATTTTCTCGGCCAGACACGTATTAGTATTCAGACTTGACCATAAAGTCTGAACACTACTTCGAGTGGATTCTGATTCGGTGGCTTTAAACCAATGACTCCACTTTTCTCACCAAACTCAGTACCTCTAGCACTTGAGTCTGGGTTATGGGCTCTTCTTCCATCAAATGTTGTAACCAACCTTTGATAAATACATGGAAATACGCCTCTGCTCCTTTCTTTGATATCTGCAACAAATACATTTAAATAATGACACTCATATTTCTATGAGACCATACATAAATGTCCAGACAGGCTTTCCTTCTCCTTATGCCATATTGTGATAGCATTACCATGATTCATTCCAGAGTATCAGTCTATAATAAATCATAATATGAACAAGATCTTGCTCTTAGCAAATCATTAATTTCATTGTCTTGACTTAAGACTTTGAGATCTTTGATAAGCAAAAAACCAAATGATGTTAGCTATCAGAGAATGACATAAAACAAATTAAATCACCATCATCTAATTGCATGTAGAACACAAAATAAGAATTGAAGGTTTCTCATAGACTTGTCTTTTAATACAAATTCCATGATGATCCTCAATCAAGGAGCAACGGAGTCTCTTAAGACATTACCTTAAAGAGCAGACTCCTTATTATCAAATACTGAAGCAAGATAGATTTGGCATAATCTCTTTCTCTTAAATACTTGATTTTTATTCCAAGAATCAAATGCCTTTTTAGAAGCAGTAATGACTGGCAGAGCCATATTACTTTTTTATTTGAATCCTGCACTAATGTCATCTTCAAAAGAATATCCGGTGAAGATAAACTGGCATTAGGTTCAAGTAGTGTTTCTCCTTGCTTTCACATATGGGAAATTAGTTGAAATACTAATATTTCAGAAGCTTCTGAAGTTACTCTTCTATCAACAAATGTTGCAGCCCATTCAGCTGGTTAAGAGGTTCTTCTGATAAGAAATATAAATCCCTCATCATTAGACATACCAAAGAACCAAGCTTTATGAAAGGTGATCTGTTAGATAGTTTTCATCATCTAATTTCATTTCTTTTCTTTGAAGATTTGTAAAACAAACCAACAAAGCACAATAAATTTGAGTTGCATAACTTCCTGAATAACTGTGACCTCAGGTTTGAATCTACCAATCTTCTTAGAATTTGCTTGAAAGATTAGATGAAGTGTAACTAGACAAGCTTTAAAACTGATTCCCATAAATCTAAGTACAAGGATTCAAAGATATTCCGAGCATCAGAAGTGAGATAGCGTACCTACCAAAATGCAACTACCTCTAAAGATATTAAATAATCTTCTTCTGAGCTGGTGATAAAGATTTTCAAACAAATCATCTCTACACCATCAACTTCTATAGTAATACCTTTTTCAAGGATATTCTATAGACCTTCAAAAACCCCTTTTATCAAGAACAATGAGTAAAAAATATGTTTTGCTTTTCCATCATTTAAATCCAGTGGAATTACCCTTTGAATATGGTAGGAAAAACAATATGATATTCTTCATGTGACACTTGATTCCTTCTTGAACGAAAGTCTTTGACATACATACTTTTCTTATTGGATCAATATATACGCCACTGTCAAGTGTTATGCAAAAACTATGCTCTAATGCCAATTGAAGGTGAGAAAAGTACACAAGAAGGGGAGAAGGGGTTGAATAGTGTTTTCCATTTTCTTAGTTTACAGCTGATTAAAGTTTAGAGTCTATACTGGTATTCAGATTCTGGTTAATCCTTACCAGCATAATGTTAATAGAAGCAAATAAATAATAGCAGAAGACACAAAAATTTATACTGGTTCCTCCTAAATTGAGAGTAGTCTAGTCCCCTTGCTTCACAAGAGATTTTCACTATAATTAAATCATGATTACAATCGCGTACACATTATGAATAAGACTTTTACAATTGCTCAGACCCAAGGTCTAAGACTTCTGCTCAAGCTTCTCACTCGAGACTTTTTGCTTAGGTTCCACGAACCCAAGACTTCCTTGCTTAGGCTCTCAACCCAAGACTTCTGCTTAAGTCCCTTGGACCCAAAACTTCCGCTCCAAGTCCCATAAAATGAGCCTCCTTGCTTGAACTCCTCAGATTCAAGACTTACTACTCCAGTTTCATGTACTGAGGTAACCTGCTCAAGCCACAGTGGAAGATACTTCTGCTCCAGGTCCCATTAAACGAGCCTCTTTGCTTGAATCCTTCATATTTAAAACTTACTACTCTAGTTTCATGTATCGAGCCAACCTGCTCAATCAATACACTTGATTAAGACTTTCACAGCTCAAGCACATAACAAGAGACTTACGTGACTCAAGCTTCTTGGCTCGAGACTTCCTTGCTTGTATCCCAATGATACAAGACTTTTGCTCAATCAAACTAGTTGGTTAAGACTTTCAAAACTCAAGCACATAGCAAGAGACTTATGTGGCTCAAGCATCTTGGCTCGAGGCTTGATCTAAACTGCTAAACAAGTTCAACAGAATAGCGAACAAGGTGTACTTGATACAAGTATCAGAGGCACAGGAAATCACCATTACAAAGACCTAAAACACTTAAGATTTCTAAGATATTCAATGTACAATTACAACCTACAACACAAAATCTGCATATACAATGGTGTTGGTAATTGTTAATCTTGTTACTCCTTCTTCTGAATGATCCTTGTTAAAGATTCAGTTTGAGCCTTCAGCCTTATGTATAACCTTTTCAGAAACTAGTCGTTAAAGGGGTAACTTGATCAAAAGTCTTTGCTTTTGCCCTATAGTACAAGAGACGTTAAAGATAGATACACCAAAAGATTTTGATCCAATGTGTAACATGTTTAACCTTTGAGTCTTCAAGAGATCCTGTACTATTAGAGCCATTGAGAGTAGATATCCATAAAGCATTATAGCCTTTCTTGAGCCTTGCAATTTGTAGACTTTAGCTGACAAACTGACTTGATAATACAACTTGCTTTTTGCAGTACAAACATCTTCAACTTTATCACTAACTCTGAATGGTACCAGAAGCCAATTTACATTCACTAAGTGTAGAGACAATTATGTTGCTTCTTCTGATGTTGAGACATTTAGCTTTAGAGTCTAACATAAATGTTTATTTATTAATGGTTATTTATTAATGAAAATAGGCAGTTTGGAAGTCAAGAATTCTGGAAAATATTACAAAATACTAAAATTTACACCAGAAACTAGGCCTGATACGGGCAGTGTTGTCTGAAATGGGGGGGGGGGAGTCGCGTTGAGGAACACGATCGACCAGACTGTGTTCTCCTTATGAATTTGCTATGGGGGCGCCTTCAAGGGCCAACACGGTATGTGTCAGCTGACACGACCAAATCGTGTTGGCCACATGTATTTTGTATTGGGATGACTTACAAACGTGCGATTTTCCATCTTTTTCACTTCAATCGTGCCATATACATCCTTATTAATCGAAATCAACAAAAACTTACAAAAGCGCATAAAAGTGAAACAAAGCGATAAAGACACAATAAAACGAGAATAAAAAAGCTAAAAATACGTTGTAATAATCACTTATCAATAAGACAAGTTGAACGGGTTAGCGCGTGCCTGATCCACCTCGCTCGACTGTGACCCGGGTCACTCAACCCATACCCATGTTCCTCATTTGATCTATCTAGTAACACGTGACATGTACAATATTCCTAAGGGAGTAAGCCAAATACAACAAAAAGTAAGATGAGAGGACTGTTCCCCTATAATAGAGAAATATCTGATCTATATTACTTCCTTAACTTGGTAGAAAAAGTAGGAGACACCGTTTCTATTTCAATCACTCGATCCAAGACGTTATCAACAACTACTCTAAGCTAAATACTTGAAGATTCATTAACTAATTTCATCAAACCCTAACATACAAAATCTTTTACTATCAAATATTAAACAGACTCTCAGTAACCGCTATTGTATTTCACAAATACAAAATTATACATTAATTTTAAGAAAAAATATTCAAAATTTTTGTTATAAATTATCATTCCATATTAATAATAGTTTAATAAACTCATTAGGTTCATTAAATTTTTCGCTCATACTCAACTCATTAGGTTCATGAACCTAGTTCAACGATCTAATTGTCGAATCGAATTTCGAACTATTTTCGAGTTGGTTCGGTTCATTGCCAGCCCTATAGTTTATCCAATTTTAATTTGCAATTGTAAAAAAGCCATTTTAAATTGTGCACTAAATGCAAATGTTTAAAAAATCTATAAATAAAAATTTTGTTTTAACTTCTAAAAAAGTTAAGCCACAACTTCCAAAACGAAAACTTCTTATATTTAGTTTCTAATTTAATAATAGAGTCTAACAAAGTTCAACAACTTTTCTTGCCGACGACGAACGACGTCGTTGCACCATCAGCGCCGTTATCTTAATTAAGAAATCCAAAATATACGGATTAGTTTATTCATAGTTCATTAATTATCACCTTGCATGCTTAATCATCACCGAGAAAAGAACAATGAAAACAATAGAAAGAGCGAGAAAATAAAAATATAACAGAACAAAATATCCCACTACCATTACTCTCTCTCTCTCTCTCTCTCTCTCTCTCTCACATTGTGATTCCGTTTTTCTTGGAACTTCGAAATCATGCACAGTGATGGTTTTCTACTCATCTCTTTGCTACTTAAACCCTAACAACTTTAACCGTTAATCATTTTCCAGTTCGATCTCTCCCTCTCTCTCTCTATGATTTTCTCTCACTATGTATAAATTATCAATTTTGCTTTTGTTTTGCAGGTTTCTGATACGTAATGGCGCCAAAGCGAGGGATTCCCTTCGCCAAGAACGGAAGCAAAGGAGTTCGTTTCCCTGTTTTAAGATTCCTTCTTCTATGTGTTCTTACGCCTCTTGTTTTCTTCATCAGTCGGGGTTCTCGTGTTGCAGGTTAGTTCACTACCTGTTGAGAATTATTGATTTCGTACACTTTTGTATTAGAAGGGGAAAGTTGGACATTTAAGATTTTTGAAAGTGCTATTGGATTTATTTGTTTTTGTGTTGTTGCTGTATTGGGAAATTAGATTAGGGAAGGGTTGTTTAGAGAATAAGGTAACTATGCTGAAGTGTTGTTGACGTCATTATTTTGCTGACATTCTTTAACTGCATTATAGGATAAACCCTTATAGTAGTACAACTTATTCTTGCATTAATATTAATATCTGATGGTCACATCGATAGGTTGTGATACTATATTAGAGTTTGTCCTAACTCGTTCTTACAAAACTGAATTAAAAGGTGATGGGTGTCACTCTCTATATAAACTCTTTAGCTGCTCTATGTCTAACCAATGTGAGACTTGGAATCTTTCCAATAATCCGTATAACGCGGTACATTGAAACTGAAGTGTCATGTAAGGGAAAAAGGCTTTATTGTGATTCCTTGAAAGGTAATCTCTTAGTTAGTTGACAACTGAATTAGTTAGTAAGTCATTTAGTTAGCGGTGCAAGACTGGAATCTATAAAAATAGAAAGGTGATTAAATGGGGAATCTTTGGTTTTATTAGGAAATTGGTGAGTGAGCACCAAGTCTCTCGAATATCTGGATTGTAATAGTTCTTTTCAATCAATAGACACCATTTTTTTCTATAATCTAATCAAGTTCCTATCAACTGGTATTAGAGCTCCTATTTTGGAGCTGTAGGGGAATTATTCCTATAAATGTCTTTAGTGGATGTGACTCGAACATTTGATGGGAAGGAGGCTTCCATGTAGCTCATCCAAATACATAAGCATTTTGGAACCATTTGAGTCCCGAGGGAATAAAGTTATTGTATGTGGTGGCCTTAAAAGAAGAAGAATCAGAATGCATCAGGGTAAACCTTTGAGAAAGTGGTGCTCAAGAGATTTGAATCAGAGGTTTGACTTTCCCTTCAAGATTCTGGATCTAAGGAGCAAGTGGGGGGTGAAGTTTATGATGACAACGATCTGGAAACTAAAGACAACCCAAGAAGTAAAAACACAACCTCTCAACATCAAGGGTTGTGAATCAACAGAAGAAACCCAAAACAGTGGATGTGGTGGAGAACAATGAGATATTAAGACTGTGGTCAACTCGCGTCACAGAAGAACAAGTAGAAAAGGTACTAAGAGAAGAAGGTAAAGGAGTGAAAGGTTGGTCATGCAATGGTGGAAAAGAGACGGGTGAACAAAGTCCGAATGGGTTTTTTGTGGGGGCTAGTAGGAACATTGAAGGGTGTTGTGGAGGTGGTGGTGTCGACATGGAGGTTATGATGTTGAAAATGGAAGAATTGTATGTGATTGAGACGGGTGAGTCTTGAACAGGACAGACGCACTGCTGTTGCCACTTGAATTGTCAAACTCAAGCTCTTCAATTCAAGGTTGAAGTTTCAACTTCAAAGATGATAGTGTGATCACATCCATGAGGTCAGTTTGTTGTCCTTTTAGGCTCAAACAAAAGCAGAGGAAAGTCTTGGTAAAGGAAAGATGGGCCAAAGCCAAATTGATAAGATGATCAGATTTTGTTGTCGCTTTTGGTGCTTTCTTTGACTTGTTGGTACATTTGTAATAGCATAAAATATGTATATTAGTGAAATAAGACTTGAAATATTTTGTCTTTTCCCTTTAAGTGACCAGACTATCAACTTCTGTTGTTCCAAGTGGTATCGTTCCTCTTGAGGTAAGTCTTGGGCTCAAGCCTTCTAAATTGAAAAATAGTTTTATCCTTTTGAGTGAGTTCACTTGACTTGACTAAGATTAGTTGGATTCGATGTGATAGTCTAAAACACAAACACAAAAATTGAAAGGGGAGCCTTGGTGCAACTATTGAAGTTACTGTTATGTGTCTAGAGGACATGGCTTCTGTTGTGACATTAGCCTCTTGCAACTGCAAAGGTAAGGCTTCCTACAATAAATATGCAATAGATCTATGGCGGAGCTTTCCGGAACATGATTGTCCTTTCTTCTCTATGTTGTAGGATTAATGGTTGAGAGACTATCAGTTCTCACTTTTGTTAATAGACTGTTAAATTATGAGAACTGAAATAGGGTACATCTATCTTCTAGTTTCTTCTGCCTATTTCCCTTCAATGAGAAAGAGAAAACAGTTATTAACATATCAAAAATTTTCTATATGCATATATATGAGTTTAAGCTGGTGTACTTACTTGAAATGCCTTGTGCAGATCAAAATGATATTTCAGCTGTTCCAGATACACAGGTAGCCTGTTTTGAGTGATATTGACTATGCAAACTATATAATGGATGTCACTTATATATTCTTTTCTTGTTTGACTTAAAATAAACTGTTGACTGCAGCAGGTTGCCAAATGGAGAGAGTGGAATGCATTGCAAGACCTTAAATCACTTTTTTCGAAAGAGGCAAGCTTAGGCTTATAAACAATTGATCCATATTTATCATTTAATTTTTTCACGTAATATATTTCTAATTAATGTTATATTTTAGGTTTTTGATGTTATTGTGTCCAGCACAGATGACATGGGGCCATTGAGTCTTGACAATTTTAGAAAAAATATGTCTGCATCATGGAGAGTTGTTGGATTAGAGACTTCAAATGATGCCTATGAGGTTTGGAGGACTGACATGCTTCTGCATGGAAATTTCAATTCCTGTATTTAAAAGAAATAAAATTAAGAGGCATTATTGTTTTATTGCTTTCAAATGTTAATTCATGTTTAATTGTTTAATTAAAGCTAAAGCAACCAACAACTCATGGTAGACAAGAAAAACGACAGGTGAAGGAAGGAAGATCTTCAGGTGGCATCATACTCTATACTCTGTAATATGCCTATGTTGCTTAATTTACACTACAACTCTCTTTTTTTATGCAGAGGGTCTTGCTCAGTGGACTGATAGCCCTGCTCGGCAAGTCCGAAGGGTGAGCATCATTATTTGATATTGGACACACCTTGTGTTGGTGATAGTTTGCACTGTAGCTCATTTTAGTCTTGCTTTTTGACAACAAAGGCAAAAGTAACTTTTCCACCTCAAATGACTTCTAGCTTAGCTAAAAAAAACTTCGTCCATAGTACATTATTGACACATGTTGAAATTTATAATTTTCTTTGGAGTATTTACTCTCTTTTGGTAAACTTTGCCTAAAAGTAATTTTATCCAACTTGATTAAAAATGACAATATTAGAGAAAGTGTTGGGCTAGCACCTATAGTAGAAAAGATGGTGGGAAATAGACTTAGGTGATTTGAGCATGTAGAGAGAAGACCGGTAGATTCTGTGGCAAGGAGAGTAGATTAGATGGAGAGGAGTGAAACAACTAGAGGTAGAGGAAGACCTAGAAAAATTATAAGTTGTTAAAAAAGATTTCAACATTAATGAATTGGATAGAAACATGGTCCTGAATAGAGTATTATGGCGGAATTTGATCCATTTAGCCGACCCTACTTAGTGGGATATGGCTTAGGTGTTGGTTGGTTGGTTGGTTGGTCTTACACTCTTACTGAATTACATGTGGCATGTCCGAGACACGCAACTTGTTCTTCCAATGGCTAAATGTTGACAATGATGTTTTGTTTAAAGCAAAAATTGTTTTTTGACTTAGTGTTTTTCATTTTGGGAATGGGATTTTTCATGTTCAGAACTATTTCTGCAGAAATTAATCGGAAAAAGGCGGGAAAAGCGTGCCTCTGAGTTGGTAAAGATGGACAATGAAGTAATAGTAAAACTCGAAAATGCAGCTATTGAACGCTCAAAATCTGTTGAGTCAGCCATATTAGGTAAGTACAGCATTTGGAGGAAAGAAATTGAGAATGAAAATGCTGATTCTTCTGTTCGGTTTATGCGGGACCAGATCATTATGGCTAGGGTATATCTTAGTATTGCAAAGATGAAGAACAAGCTTGAGCTGTACCAAGAGCTGCAATCTCGGCTCAAAGAGAGTCAACATGCTTTAAGTGATGCAATTTCTGATTCAGATCTTCATCATAGGTTGGAGTTAGGTGGAATTTATCTGCGTTTTTCTTTCTCTATCCGAATATACTGCTTAGCTAATGTAGTGTAATTATCTCTAGTACACATGAACAAATAAAGACTATGGGCCAAGTTCTGTCAAAAGCACGAGGACAATTGTATGACTGCAAGTTGGTTACTGGGAAATTGAGAGCAATGCTACAAACAGCCGATGAGCAAGTTAGGAGCTTAAAGAAACAAAGCACATTCCTTAGTCAGTTGGCTGCTAAGACCATACCAAATGGAATTCATTGCTTATCTATGCGCCTCACAATAGATTACTACCTTCTTCCTCCTGAAAAGAGGAAGTTCCCTATGAGTGATAATCTGGAGAATCCCAGTCTTTATCATTATGCACTATTTTCAGACAATGTCTTGGCTGCATCTGTTGTTGTGAACTCAACTGTTACAAATGCAAAGGTGAGTAAGACAGTCTTTTTATCTAACGAATGCTTCATGTGCGCGATTTCTTTTATAGATGGCAACTAACTTGTTCCTCCACTGTAGGAATTGCATATCTTTCGCGTGTACTCCACCTGTGATTTGAGAAATTATATGATTAAGACAATCCTTATTGTCTTCATGCTTTTGTATTCATTGTTGCAGGATCCTTCAAAGCATGTTTTCCACCTTGTTACGGATAAACTCAATTTTGGAGCCATGAACATGTGGTTTCTTTTGAACCCTCCTGGAAAAGCTACAATACATGTTCAAAATGTTGATGATTTTAAGTGGTTGAATTCATCATACTGCCCTGTATTGCGGCAGCTTGAATCGGCAAAAATGAAAGAGTATTATTTCAAGGCTGGCCATGCAACGACATTTACTTCTAGTGCTTCCAATATGAAATATAGAAATCCAAAATATCTCTCAATGCTCAACCATCTGAGATTCTATCTTCCAGAAGTTTATCCTAAATTAGATAAAATCCTTTTTCTCGATGATGACATCGTTGTTCAAAAGGATTTAACCGGATTATGGGCAGTTGATCTTCAGGGTAAAGTAAATGGTGCAGTTGAAACATGTGGTGAGAGTTTTCACCGATTTGACAAATATCTTAACTTTTCTAATCCACATATTGCAAGAAACTTTGATCCAAACGCTTGTGGTTGGGCATATGGGATGAATGTATTTGATCTCAAGGAGTGGAAAAAGAAGGATATCACTGGTATATATCACAAGTGGCAAAATATGGTGAGCTTTTGAATATAACATTAGTTTGCATCAGAGTGTCTTTTCAAACACAAATAGGTGAATACAAAAAATCTTTTACTGACCTAGCTTATTTTTCTATCTGATTCTAGAATGAAGACAGGGTTCTGTGGAAGCTGGGGACATTACCTCCAGGACTAATGACATTCTATGGGCTGACACATCCTCTAAATAAATCGTGGCATGTCCTTGGTTTGGGTTATAGTCCAACTGTAGATCGATCGATGATAGAGAATGCAGCAGTTGTACACTACAATGGTAATATGAAGCCGTGGCTAGAGATTGCCATGACAAAGTATCGGCCTTACTGGACAAAATATGTCAAACACAGTCATCCCTATCTCCAGAACTGTAAGTTATAATAATAGTCACGCATTTCTGATAATTTGGTACAGAGATTGGTTATCTTTTCTCCAACCTTCCCCATTTTCTTTCATCTTTCTGGCATGGATATTTCAATTAGAGAGTCTTGCTAGAATGATGATCATTGTCCTGGAACCTAGAAGGGCCGACGTTAATGCTGTTTGATGTTTACCTCCAACATCTTCCCTTTCCCCATTGATTTTTGCTTTCAATTCATTAAATTTGCTTAAGTCATTCTCACCCATTTGAAACAAGGTACAGAAGTAGTTTCCTTGCTTACCATTAAAAACTCCTCATTGTACACTAATCTGATTATGATATTTGCGACATGACTTGAAATTGAATATCATATTTCTATATATTCTTTGGAGAACATACCTTGTTAAGTTTTGAGAGTTATGTTATTTGCACATGCCAATTGTTATCTCTAAAAGCACAGGACTTCCCAGGAATGACGTTCATCTGATTATTTTTCTATTAATATTTTCTGTTGTTTTCCTTTTAGATCAGTTGTGAGACCTGTGCAAGGAATTTGTTTGGCGATTTAGTATAATGTTAGTAGGGTTCCTGTTGTCTGTGGCTATTAATTAAATGTTACACATTTAATTATGCGGCCACTTAATAACTCTTTGTAAAACAATAAATTTTACTAATTCGAGTGTTGATTATTATCATAATATTTTAAGGAATAATTATACAAAGTTTTATATACATTTGGAATTGTAACTATGTAATCTTATCATCGGCATGCATTATGTTTTTTAAAAGTTTATTTAATAAAAATTGTTTGAAAATTTATAAAAATTAATAAAATTGATCTACTTAGTTTTTTGATTTGACGTTTGAATTACTGAAATTTATTGTTTATAATGAATGACTAAGTTGATTTTTTTTTTAAACTAGCAATGTATTATTTTTTATTTACCAAATAAATCATACTTTCAAAATTATTATCAAAATGGCAATGTTTCAAATTAGACTAACATGCGTTCGCCAAACCAATTGGCGAATTAGGCCAAATTGGGCTTCAAGCAATTCGCCAAACCAATTGGCGACAGAGTGTGTTTTGTGGGCATTCGCCACACCAATTGGCGAATTGGTTATATGTTTAGGGTTTGTTTTCGTTTTTCAGTTTTCTTTTAATTATCATATAATATTTTTAAGTTTTAAAGTTTTAAAATTATCATATTTTAGAGAAAATCATATTAAAGTTTTATAGTTTTAATTATCATATTTAAAGTTTTAATATGTAATTGTTTTTTGATTTTAATTATTATTACTATTAACCATAAAATATATTTATTTATAATATAATTAATATTAATATAATTGAAATATATTCGTAAGCATAAAGTGATAATAAAAAGAAATTATATTAATTTATAATGTAATTAAAAATACACGAACAAAAATATAAATATAATGAAAATTAAAAAAAAAAAACCCTAATGATTGGCTCTATCCAAGTGACCACCGGTGCCACATTGGGGGGGGGACGCGTGTTGCGACGAGGTTGTTGTGGTGTGTCAGGATGTTGTGTGTTCAGTTGTGGTGGAGGGTTCTGTTGGGACGGCCCCGACGTATCAGCTCGATCTTGCATCATTTGACCCCAATAGCCGGGAGGTCCCATTTCACATGCACTTCCGTAGTTAAGGACAATGCCCATGTTTTCGTACGATTGTCGGGGAGGGTGGGTGGAGTATGGACGATATGGTTGTCCGAAAGTGTACATGGAGTTGGGTTGGTCTAGGTGTGTTGGTTGTTGTGGGGTGTGGTAGTTAAATATTGGGTGGTTGGAGGTGTAGTTGGAGGGGGTAGGGTCGAATGAGTTGTCCGGGATATAGGTGGCAGGGGTAAGATCAAAAGACATATCAGGGCTGTACTGGTTAGATGGTTGAGGCTGGGATTGGATTGGTGGCATGTAAGGTGGTTGTTGTTGATAGGGGGTATATGTTGGCATGGATTGGGGGGTGTCTTCGTATGGTGGTTGTTGGTGATGGTCTTCGTATGGTGGTTGTTGTTGATGGGGGGTGTCTGTTGGTATTTGTGGGTATGATGAAGAACCGCGTTCCCTTGGATCGGCCAAATAGGTTGGCTGGGACAGGAAAGGCTGGGTTGTCGTGACAGAACTAAACCAAGTCATATATTGAAGACTTGGCCTAGCCCCGTGCACAATACTGTCGGTTAAGACGTATTGCCTTCTTCTTTTCCAAAGTACACGCAGCTCCTTTGCAAACTCCTTCCAATCACCAACCATCCACTGTGCGTCTACCCGTTTTTGATGCCACTTCCCCAAGTCTACGGGAGCATCTGGAATATCTTGATGCATCCCAAATTGGAGTTTGACCAAATCACTTTGGTGAATCTCCACCGTAGTGAACCTAATTATAGGTGTCTTTGCTGTCCACACAGCGGCATCGTCGGGGTTGGGCTGGTGGTCGAGACCCTCGTACGGCATCCAGACAAACTACAATGTAGTTGTAAAATTAAGTTAGACAGGATGTGTGAAGTGTATGCATATACATTAAAAAAAATTAGGGTAAATAACTTACATCGTTTGGTCCAAGGTGGTCGATTAGGTTGCGGTATTGAATTATAGAGTGCCTTGGACATTTCTCATAATTCATCCCGGGTACAGACCACCTAAAAAAATAAACAGAAGTTAGAAATTATTAACTGAAATAGAATACGTAGCTGCCAAATAATGTTGAAAAGATACTTACTTTTTTGCGTAGGGGAACGTAAAAGAATTTCTGTTTATTGGAGCAAGCATTGGCATCCTCGACCAACCCCAAGCTTGCAAAAGATAGGCACAACCAAAAAAGTACAAGAATCCTCGAGGAGTGCCCGTTCAAATTAACAGCATCGTTCAGGAAGAGAAGCGATTCCTGGAAGATAGGGTCAATGGGTCCGTCCCACAGCTGTATAATCTCGAATCCGATGCAAGACCATCGCAAACTAAACTCTAAGTTGATTTGTGATGAGATTCTATCAGTCGTCAGCGACAACCCATCTTTGAAGGTGAGTACCATATTGCGCATATGGTACAAAGGTACAACTACACTCCTTCGTACCGAAAAGCCTGGATAGCCAGGAATAAAGCTGTTGAAATGGTGTTTGGAAATTGGGAGGAGTCATACAAGGAACTTCCTAAATTCCTAGTAGCCCTTAAACACTACTCTCCAGGAACTGTTGCGATATTGGAGACGTTGCCTGCTTGTACACCAGACGGGAGTTATGTTGCCGGCAATGGAATTTTCCACAGAGTCTTTTGGGCATTCGAACCATGCATCAAAGGGTTTGCATTTTGTAAACCTATAATTCAGATTGACGGAACCTGGCTTTACGGGAAATATAAGGGCACACTTCTGATGGCTGTGGCACAAGACGGGAACAACAACATTTTCCCGATAGCCTTCGCCATAGTTGAAGGGGAGACTGCTGGGGGTTGGAGTTTTTTCTTAAAAAACCTACGGTCATACGTGTCTCCCCAACCTAACTTATGTTTGATCTCCGATCGACACCCATCCATCGAGAGTTCTTACAACAACCATGACAACGGTTGGCAGGATCCTCCATCGACCCACGTCTACTGCATAAGGCATATTGCCCAAAATTTCATGAGGGAGATCAAAGACAGGACGCTACGGAAGAAGGTTGTGAACGCGGGGTATGCACTAACTGAACCAACATTCAGATACTACCGTGACGAGATTAGACTGAACAACGCGGATGCATTAAGATGGATTGACGACATTGATAGGGAGAAATGGACGCGGGCATACGACAATGGGGTGCGATGGGGCCACATGACAACCAACCTCGTCGAGTCAATGAATTCTGTTTTCAAGGGAATTCGAAACCTCCCAATAACTGCTTTGGTAAAGGCAACCTATTTTAGGATGGGATCACTTTTTGATAGTAGATGTGCGAAGTGGGGTTCGGTATTACAATCGGGTCAGCTGTACAGCGACACTGCAATGAAATTCATGAAAGACGAAGCTGCCAAAGCCAACACCCACGTGGTCACAATATTTGACCGTACAGCTGGTTGGTTCAGTGTTGCCGAGGCTATAGATCACAATGAAGGAAGGCCCAGGGGATGTTATCGTGTTGAATTAGATAAGAGCTGGTGTGATTGTGGAAAGTTTCAAGCATTCCGTATGCCTTGCTCTCATGTCATAGCAGCTTGTTCGAAGGCGCGCCAAGACCCAACCAACCTTCTTTCTGCAGTTCACCAAGTCATAAGTCTATGCAATGTCTACTCATGCAGTTTTCAGGTGTTGGCAAAGGAAGACTATTGGCCGGAATACGAAGGCCAAATTGTTTGGCATAATGACGATGCGCAGAAAAAAAAAGGGTCGGCCTAACAGCACGCGCATACGAACAGAGATGGATACCTCGGATAAGCTAGTGAGATTGTGTAGTTCGTGTCGGCAACCAGGACACAATCGTACGACATGTCCAAACGTAGGTCCGAGCAGCAGATCATAGTTTCATTTATAAACGTGTCCATTTAATTCAATAGTAACTTTCATTTGATTAAAATCAAATTTCATGCTATTACAAGCAGAGGTAACTGCAAATTTCCTTCTATTACAAGCAGAGTTAACTTTCATAAATTAAACAAACATAACAACAAATTAAAAAGATACACCAAAACAACGGAACAGAGCGTCTACGATATCACAACCATCAACTTTATCTCCTTTGGTGTCAACATCATCACAAGGACGCCGGCATCATTTTCCACTTTTCTCCATTCACGAGTAACTCCGTTTCTATCGGTCTTCTCCACCAACCTCTCAATTTTCCTAATCTTTTCTCCTGGACCAATATCCCCTTCTAGCCAGCGGTTCAGTTCCCTGTGCAAGTGCTCCAACGTCTGCGTATTCCACAGGAGCACCGTCATCGGAGGCTTTGTTGCTGAAAACACCACAAGGGCATTTCTTTTCATTATATCAAACGTTGGAAAAGGTTCCTCCGATGCTGATGGCGA